CCAACATGGCTTCTCCATACAAAGCTCTAAGAATTTGGGTAAATCATATCGTTTCTCCGAATATCTCGCATACGAGAAAATTACAGTGACCTGAATCTTGGCAGAGGTCGTTATATACGTGCTTTCATTCTGAACTTTATTAGTATTGAACTGTTTTGATTTTTATTTTTGATGGCGTGACAGTGAAAACCAGCAATAGCGGAGCTCCCGCTAGCGAAGCGCACGCAACGGAACACCACCATCTGTGCATCCCCTGCATCTAAGAAATTTTGGTTGTAAAAAACCGTCCGTCCGTCCGTCCGTGCATTCGATCGTACGTCCGCCCCCTTCATGGAAGCGATGAGAAATGTCAAAGTTAACGCTGACCTGTGTCATGTGACCGGATTCTGGGCTCAACTTATCAAGGTAACGTGTACTTTTAAAGATTTTCCCCAGCTAGTTATTAGTTTTCAGTTGACGGCAGGCTCAAGTCCATTTTTTTCAGCAGGAATTCAGTTTGTTTTTTGTTTGCAGTCTTAAAAAAATCTACGGAAGCTTCGCTTTTGGCCTTGGCTAAATCTATCCTAATATTAGGAATCTCCTAAGCTGAGGGCAGAGAGTCAAAATGGACCGACATACTGCGACTTCCTGGCGCCGGTTTTCTTGCGCATTGGCATTGCACACCTGGCCTGGAGTTTTATTCGACTGACTATCTCTGAATATATAATTGGCCAAATGTGCTAAGTTAAAAACCCTCTGTTAAAACTGTAAGCTTCAGGCAGAAGTTCGTTATCACCAAAAGAGTTACCCATAGCGGGAACACAGGTTCCCTCGACCCAAGGTGTGCCCACGATCTTTTTCTCCTTCAGCGGTAGTTTCATAACTTTTTTATTCAACCGGAAGTCAGACATCTGTATCCGCAGAAGGTTTCCTATTGGTCGCTTATTGTGGACCGGCTTGTTACACTTCTTTCCTTTACAAGCGCAAATTTTCTTCGGGTTCCGGAAGTAGGCAGTGAGTGCCACGTGCCCATCATCTGTTGTGATCCACGGTGGTTCGTTGTAGATATCCGCATTCTCAAGTGGTTTGCTGATCTGTTGAACGACACATAAGGACAGCTACTGTTGTATTCTACCACGGTCAAATGTCTGGGGCGTTAAGTTTTCGTTTTATTTAGTGCGATTTCATCTACCTTTAACAGTAGCGGATCCAGACCTTAAGATAAGGGGGGGCCCGGTCATCCAGACCCTGAGATAAGGAGAGGTTCCCAGTCTCGGAAAAAACCGACTCTTCGACCCTTCGCACCTCAGTTTGGTCTAAAAATAAGGGGGGTGGGCCCCTTCCCTGAATCCGCCACTGGTTAAAGAAGCTGTGTCACGAAATTTATCAAAACTTAAAAGAGCGGAAACTGCGACCAAACTGAGTGAAACATAAAAATAACAACTCAGGACATGAAAAGAAGGTATAAATAACATATCAAATACAAAAGGAGGCACGGATGGACAAACTTGAAGAACATTGAAGCTTGCAATTGTGCCTTGACCTGGCAGTTAGGCTATAAACAGTTTTCAACGTTCATTTTTAGTGTTTGTAACGTCTGATATACTGCTTGGGAGAATTGATTTGTTTGACACGAGGCTGTGGTTTTGCAATTTGCAAGTGATTTTTCAACTGAGTTCCATAGCAAATAAGGACGCGCGATTTGTATTTTTAATCTTTTACACAACACCTTTAAGTGCAAACATGGACAAGGATGTATAAATTTTATGTGTACAAGACGACTCATGTAGAGTGAGTTATATATCTCCATCCATATTAAAAATATACCCGGGACTATATGAAATTAGTAAAATCCAACTAGTGGTCTATTATCAATGCTCCGTTCTGATTGGTTGAGCTACCACTAGGACGGTTATAGCCCACTAGTAGCGAAAAGCGCGGGCTTTTTTGACGGCAAAAAAGGATTAAAGTCTAGCTTTAACTAGCTTAAATTTTTTCATTCTCAATATTTTTGACCAACTAGTTGGATTTATACTAAAACAATTATTCCTCTCGCCCTCATGGCCTCTGAGTCAAGAGCGCATTCGGCCTTCGGCCTCATGGGCTATTGACTCAGAGGCCATTCGGGCTCAAGGAATAATTGTTAAATATGTTCATTGGCTTTCAGTAGATATAGAGGAAGCGCCCTTTGCTACGCGCCTCCTCCATTATTGAGTTGCGGCTATTAAGACAGTAGGGAGCTTGAAAGACGTTTCAGTTGAACAACGCACGTCTACCGGAAATGGACTTTTGGCGTTATTGGGCAGTGGTTTTTGCTCAAATTTTTGGGTAAATCGTCTCTGTAAGAGTAGATACACTTAGCAACTAATACAAATTGTGATTGTAATTTGTTTAACCACGGAGCACTTAGGAATTCTTAAGAACTCGTTGAAACCGCATTGTCCGGGCGTTCCAGTTCGAATTGGAATTTGGTAGCGTCAAGCCATATTAAAAGGAAAAGGCCTTGACTTCCGGTTTTTCTCAAAAACGTCTTTGCTTTAGCTTCTTATTTTAGGCTCAAACC